CCATGAGCCGCTGGTGCATTAGTTAAACCAAAAGGCATAACAAGAAACTCATAGTGTCCATACCGCGTACGGAAAGCAGTCTTTGGAATATCCTCCTCTCTAACCCGCAACTGATAATAGCTTGATCTCAAGTCAATCTTTGAAAAACAACTGGCTCCCCTCAACTGATCAAATAAATCATCTATCATTGGCAAAGGATATTTGTTCTTGATGGTGGCATGATTCAACTTTCGGTAATCAATGCACAACCTCAAATAACCATCTTTCTTTTTAGCGAATAAGACCGGTGCACCCCACGGTGACACACTCGGCCGGATAAAGCCTTTCATCCTCAAATCATCAAGTTGCTTCTTTAATTCTTCTAATTCAATCGGTGCCATACGATACGGTGCCATAGAGATTGGCGCGGTACCAGGCATCAAATCAATAGCAAATTCCACCTCTCGGTGTGGAGGCAACTCAGTCAAGTCATCCGGAAACACATCCAGAAAATCACGCACAATCGCTGGATAATTAACCCAATAAAACTCAACGTCATCATCGGCGAAAAGACTAGCCAAGAAGAATGTCTGCCGATCCCGACCCATAACACTATAAAATGAATGAGTGAGAGGATCGCACCGATCTCCCACAAAACAGAAACAATCCCCATCCGGGGTACACACTGAAACTCTGCTCCTGAAACAATCAATAACAGCTCTGAAGGATGACAACCAGTCCATCCCAAGAATGACGTCAAATCCCGTCATCTCGAGAAGGATGAGATCGAACTCAAGAACACGTTCGGCAATTGTGATGGAACAACTCCTACAAACTCTACTAAGAGCAACTGAACCCCCGATAAGCGTGTCAACACAAAGCGGTCTGTCTAATTGACTGACCTCCAAACCCAATGCCCGTGCAAATGATGAAGTAATGAATGAATAAGAAGCACCAGAATCAAACAATACACGAACCCAAGAATGGGACACAAGAAACATACCCCTGACAGCTAAAGGACTGGATGGTGACTCGGCTAGAGTGAGTGTAAACACGCGACCCTGGGTCCTTTGCCCCTAAGAACTGCCTGCCTGATAGCCAGACTGCTGAGTGGGTGCACTCGAAGAAGCTCCCCTACCAGGTCGAGAACTCTGGGCTGACATAGCTGGCTAAGACGATTGAGGTGGTGGTCGAAACCCTGACTGAACTATGGCAGACTGCATCTGCATCTGCCTCTGCTGTGAACCTCCACCTCTGCCCAAACCACTGCCCCGCTGTGGACAATCTTTCACCCTATGGCCCTGTTGGCCACACCCGAAACATCTACCAGATGCCACCTGAATCTGAGTACACTGAGACTTGTGATGCCCTAGCTGCCCACACTTGAAACAAATCATCTGCTACCTGTGTCTGAGTGCATTGGGACTTGTAATGTCCCAGCTGTCCGCATCTAAAACAAGTAACATTCGATGTAGAAGACCCCATGGACACTGAAGCTGTGGGGGCGGATCTGACTGGCTGCTGTCCTCTGAACCCTGACTGTTCATGCTTCTGCTTCTTACTTGATTGACCCTCGGAGAAAGCACTTATACCCCTGTTGTGCTTGTAGGATTCCCTGATAGCCTTACTGTCCCTGCTTTCAGCCTCAACTACTAAGGCCTTTCGCACTGCTTTTGCATACTCTGTCGGTTCTGAGGCAGCTACAATTGGCCTGATGGTGAGATTAAGACTATCAACAAACTTCTCTATCTTTCCTTCCTCATCATTAGCAATCCCTGGTGCAAACCTCAAAAGCGATGTAAACTTATTCTCATACTCTGTAACTGTCATGCTTCCTTGCTTCAACCCATCAAACTCCTTCTTTAGTTCCTTCCGCTTAGGCGCCGGAAAGTATTTCTCATAGTACAACTTCTTAAAAGTAGCATATGTCATAGTATCCAGATTATGGGTGTGAGAAACGGTCTTCCACCAAATCTCAGCATCGCCCACAAAATTGTAAGTAGCCAATGTAATCTTCAACTTGTCCATTGCCAAATTCATGGCATTAATATGCTTCTCCACCCTATCCATGAAACTATCCGCAACAAGCGGATCTGGACCGCCCTCAAACAAAGTTGGCATCAATTTCACAAACTTTGCAATGTGGTAAAGAGTATCATCTAACTCATTTTTCTTTGAAAGTGGTGGTAGTAGTGCCGGTGGTGGCACAAACTGTGACGATGACGCACATGTCGGTCGATATGCATCAAAAATAGCCTCCTGAATGGCTAACCTCAACTGCTTCCTATTTATCTGAAAAGGTGGGTCAACGGTCCCCCTCGCTTGTCATTCTCTTGGTGGGACCAAATCACGCAATAAGATATCTTTCTCAACTTGCTCCTGATCCCTTTCCACGGGATTGGAGCTAGAACTTTCCCTGGGATCCCTTCGTGTTGGCATGACGCTATAAGAAAAAGGAAACGGATCAATAACGATGACACTAAAATACGCACGAGAACGGAATCCTCACATGAATGACTTGACAAATATGGAAACACATAAACACCTTCCTTGCTCCTAGAATACCCAACTAATGAGAAACATGATCATGCTAATAATATACAACAACATTAAGCACTTAGCCCGTAATCATATAAGCAATTAAATAATTAAGTATGCCTTTCAAATAATTAAGCACCTTAACACATATGCATATAAGCATGCAATCACGTAAGCAATTAAACAAGTAAGCAAATAACTCAACTCCCCATGCAATCCTAGGTAGGCCTCTACCCGTCGTCCTAATAGTATTCGAACCATCGCTCTGATGCCAAATTTGTCACGACCCGAAAAGATACCGAAATAATAATAAAAATCTATAAAAATTTCGGCATGACCTCCGCAGAAAATGTCCCTCAACAACCTGTTGAAATGCAAAAATAAATGTAATAGCCTCACTGGGCCTTAAATCTAACTTATCATGTCCCAATGCACAATTCAGATATTATACTACATTTCCAAAATAGTTACATATATACAAAAATCCTGTTATTCCATCTCATCCAAACAAGGGACACATCCGTTACTTCAAGTTACAATCCATAATTGTAACTAAAATTTTAAAATCCATAGCTTACAACATTATATCAACTAAACTAAATATTCACAAAATATTTAAGATTGCATTTACAAAATATATTAAAAGTTCTAATACAAAAGATAGCAAAAAATAGCAAAATAAAATATATCTCCAAGCTAGTCTAAACCAGTGGTGGATCGTCGTCCGCCACCTCTTTTCCGTGTCTTGAAAAATGTTTAAAAAAAATGGGGTGAGCATAAGCTCAGTAGGAAGTGTCTAAGACATACTTTTTATATCCCCGTGAATCCCACACAAGGAATGGATAAAAAGGGACGGGGTCATACCATGGGGAAAACATAATCTCAATCACAATGACAAACATAGTATAAATAACATCCAATCACAAATTTCCCACATGTACCATGAAGTGCAATGTCATGCCTATGCCACTCCCCGTTTCCGAAATAATTCCGTTTCAACAACCAAACCGTTAATGTAATCCGACCCAAGGCACCTCTAAGGCGTCACGAAAGGAAGGTTGGTTAACTATCCACGACCACAAGGCACCTCCAAGGTGTCGCATCCGGCCTAGTTAACTCAACTACATTCCTTTCTAGACTACACTAACATCACGGACCACTAGGCGCCTCCTAGGCGTCCGATTTTCGCAACACTTTTAGAAAATATTTTTCCCAAAACAATTTTATTTGTTCTAACAAATATTTTTTCCCCTTTCTCTTTCCCAATGGATGCATAAATGCTTCATACTTCAAATTATCAATTTAACTATATGTTTTCACACATTTCCATTTACATCATCATCACAATTTAATGAAAATTTCTAAACATTCATTTCCTTTATTTATTTATTTATTTATAACCATAGCACATATTTTTTTTCTTCAAGACAATAATTAAATAAATAAATAAATAATCATAGAACATACAACACATCAAACACTAAGCATGCTCATTTACCGTAATGAAAATAGACATGCATATGAACTCAAATAACACATGGAACACAATTATCATTGTAATTACATATAACTACAACAACAGCAAACTAAGTAATTAAAATTTAGCATGCTTAGGATCAAATTTAAAAGGAAAAAATTCGCCAAAGGCCAAGAAATTGTAAATTAGAACACCCCTACCTCAAATTGATGAAAACCCCCAATTTGAGGCTAAGAACCCTAGAATTTCGAACTCCCTAGAGTGCACCAAAACTGAAATTGTTGGTACTCACACGTAGATCTCGTCGTACTCTTCGATTTGCCGCAAACGGCACCCAAAAATTCCAAGTATGGAAGGAGGAATCAAGGCTTAAAATTGTAAAAAAAAAAAAAAAAAAAAAAAAAAAAAAGAAAAAAAAAAAGAAAAGAAAATGAAGAGCAAGCTACTGGAGTGAGTCGAACGAGAGAGTGAGATACGCAGAGAGTCAAAGGCCATTAGGCCCTTTTTGTTGTTTAACATAATGATGGGGCCCACCACTTTGTTTCTTTTTCTTTTATACTTATTTTTTTAATATATATATATATATATATATATATATATATATATATATATATATATATATATAAACATTACAGTCCGAGTGAACCACCTGGGTAGGCAGGGTGACCCGACCATAACGAGGGCGTTGCGAGTTTGAGTGAAGGAAAATGTTATAAGGGGATACTTGTCCTACATCGGATCCGGATGGGAAGTGACATGGGTATAAATGGGTGGGTATGCAGTACTACTTAACAATTCAAACTTTTGGATAAATGAATAAGCGCACACCCGTTAAACTTGTCCACTACAGTGTTACATTTTGCAGAGGTCTATCATGAAATGGACCAGACTAAAGTTAACTCATAATATCACAAAGGTCTAAGTGATCATAGCCAAAACACCCTCCCACTCATCTTCAAGGAATTTTTTTTAGGGGGTATTATATAATATTTTACAAACTTTAGGGCTTATTATGTGATATTTATAAATTTTATGCATAAATATTATAATATCTAATGGGCCCCGGGTATTATTATGAAAATAAAGAGTATAAGAAAAAAAAAAAAAAAAAAAACCTTAGGGGCATTATATAATATTTTACAAAATTAATTTTAGGGGTATTATATAATACTTTATGAAATTTAGGGGGTATTATGTGATATTTTATAAATACAATGGGCTCGGGGCACCTATGCTTGCTCCGCCCCCTGGACCCAATGCTGCCGATCAATTAATCAATCTCTCACCTCTTCTTTGAAATATCCTGTGTGCTCATATCAATGTAGGAGAGACTGGGAGGAGTATTCGATTTCGCTTCACTTTTTCCAATAAAAAAATATTTCCTTTTTAGGGTTTTTCATTACAGTAACATCTTCAATGGGTGAATGGAAGATGAAAAAGATGTCTACGCCAGCTCTGTTTGAACAAGCTCGAAAGGTTCATTTAATGGCGTCCCAGTCTGGCATTGATCAGGTAATCTCGTCTGTACTTACACATACCTTGTATTCCTTTACACAAATATACTTGATATCTATCTATATCGATGAATTTTGCAGCATTAATTTAGTCCTCATTTAGGTCATAATACTGTTTGTTGCACTTGAATTAGATATATTAGGCTATGTTTTTTCAAATAGCCCCCAATGAAATATCACACCTGTCTAAATTAATGATTTTTTTAGATTGTTACTCTAGATATTGGGTAATGGATGAATGAGCAAAGCAAAGCATTGCATATCCAATATATTAGCCGGACTACAGTTTCTTACAAGAACGGAAATCTTCAGTTGTGGAGATAATTTCAATATATCATAACCCATGGGCGACTCAAATTATTCAAAGTTTCTCACATGCAACCAACCAAAAAGATTAACTTTGCCTTGTAGCCTAGTGCTTGTTAAGAAATCTAACTTATTAAAATAGTAAAAACTAGCATTGTTCACATAAGATAAGACACAAACAAAAATCCATAAAAAGCATTTATTCAGTTATCCAATTTTTTGAATAAATAATATTTTTGAGGCCAGTAGAATTCTAGGAAGAATTATGGATGAAAATCTCTGGAACATTGTGGGATACACATTATGGAGATAAACATTATGTGAGTAATGATAAGTTTATATGGTGCCTCTTTTGCTTTGTCCCAAATTTCATAGATTGATGGTAATATGAATGGCATTTTAGCAATGCACCCAGAAGATTCTGAGACTTGTGAAGGCCATTTCTTTTGCACTTCTCGTAGTTTAAAGAGCTGAAGTGGCAGCTATTCTGTGTATTGAGTCATTAAGTTTTTTTCAGGCGTAGAAATATGAAATGCCACCTAACAACACTAGTGTTACAGAAGAAAACCAGGATGGAATTATGGAAAACCTTGCTTTTGGCAAAATGATTCTTATGCCCTTGTGTTGTATTCTGGTACACTGATCCTACACCAGACACAGCTATGAATTCCTTTACAAAAATTAGCATGAATTGCTTGACCCACACATTTTTCCCAATTTCTCTTCTGGGATAGATTCTGCTTACTGATTTTGTGGGAGAAAGGCTTGCTGATAAACAACGAATTGTTACATTACTCAAACGCCGTGAGGGATACTTTGGTAAGTAATTTTTCTTCAAAGAACCGTACTCAATCCTGGATAATACTTAGCCAGTATTTGCTGTGGTATGTTCAATGCAAAAGGAAATCCCATTCAAACAAAACCAAAATGATACCATGCATTGAAGAATAGAAGAGGTCTGGAAGCCTTCCAAACTGTACAACTGATACAAAAGAACTACTGCTTTCTTAAAATGACATAATGTACTCAGTAGTCAATGGAGATTAACTCTGTTTTATTCCTTGAATCCGTACTAGTTTTTGGTAACTTTCGAAACTGGTCAGATACAACAACTTTTATTATCTAGCAGTAAGTTTCAAATTACATATTTTATAGAAAAAGTTTGGCTAGATTTTAATAAATAAAAGTTCTGCTAAAAATAATATTATGGTTAATATTCGAGTTCTATTCATCAAAAAAATAATATTATTAAATAAATAAAAATAATTCTAATACGGAATAATCTTAAAAAGGATTTATGGTTATAGTTTCGAACCTGAGTTTTTGTTCTTAAAATAGTTCTTTTCTAGCCATCCTAAATGCAGCTCTGGAAAGTATCTGTATTATATATGTTCAATTGTTTATTTGTTTACAATCTATTTTTTCTGCATTATTTTGTGCTTTTAACTGCATGTGAGGTTTTTGTTGCAGATGAGCAATAATAGTATGGTGTCAAACCCTGAACATGAATCGAATAACAATTTATAATTGAATAGAATATAAAGGCTGATTTACACAGTATTGTAGGTAGACTTAAATTGCTAAGATGTAGGGTCTGTCAACTTTAACTCGGGACCTTTGTGTTGGAATGCTACCCGGATACATCAAAGCTTATGGAACCTGCTGATCATCCATTTAACAATTCATCTATCCTTTTTGCATTAAATAGGAAATTATCTTGCCTTGGCCGTTTTAAGGTGTGAAGGGAGCTAAAACAACCACCGCATTATGTCCACCAAAGCCAAATGAGTTGGAGATAGCAATGATGAATATAGGAATTAGATTAGTTGAAAGAATGTTTCTTATGTAGAATAGAATAAGATATAATAGCTCATCTTGTACGGAGCAAATCCTCATTTCAAACCCAATTGATTGTTGCTTCTGAGGTTTATGTTAATGGAATTACATGTTCTAGTGTTTTTGTGGTCGACGTGAGTCCCCCCCACCCCCGCTGCGCCCCGCGTGCCAAACCCACTCTTTCTCGTCATTACTTGTCTAAGCATCAACAAGAATGTGCTTTGCAGCTTCTTGATGAAAATTATTAAAAAAAGTATGCATTGGTCCGCATTCTCAAGAAACTTGCTTGCAAAACTACTGAAAATACCATCTAAAAATGTTTTTGGCGTGTCCAGGACATTTCATAAATTTTTCCTCCATCCTATTTACCTTTTCTGATGTATGGTCATTTCAGTAGGTTTTCACTTAAACGAAAGTTAGACTTAATTCTTCCTTGTATTTTTCTTTTTTGCAGTCTGTGATGGTGGCTGCACCTTTGTTAGCATTTGTTCAGTAGTAATTCAGACTTACCTACATTGACATCATGCTGTATCTTCTGATTTGGGACAGTGTCAATCGTAACCTCAGGCTTAATATTCTGCAATAAAATAAATTTAATTAATTAATATATTGCAAGACCATCACAACAATATGAAAGGAGATTGGAAACTTGAGGGTCATTTTGATGTACATATTGGTTTATGGTTGGATGCAGCCAACCAGTAGTGATTGCTTTTATGGTTGCTATGGCTTCCAATCCTCCTGCAGCTCCTAGAACATGCCCAGTCATTGACTGAAAATTTTAACATGTTACTGATATTGGTATACAAAATGAAGATTTAACTCTTATTTGATTAGTTTAAATAAGCAATATGCATCTATCAGTTGTTGGTGATCTTTTTAAATGACTTGCATTCAGGATTAGGCATTGATTTTCTCATTCGATTATCCTGTTCACAAGTGGAATCTTAGGGTCCGTTTGGTTAGCATGAAGCAGCAAGAAAGGAAAGGAAAGAGAAAAAATTTAAATGTTTTAGTAGTTTGGTTAGATAGAAAGTGAAATTTTTGGGGAATGTAAATTTCCCGCATCTGATAATTTTCCTCAAATTTTTTCTAGCATGAAACACATGAAAATCTACTTTCCCGCAAAAGTTGTGCACTATATTTATTGCTTTTCTTATTATGCCCATATCAGTTGTCTAAACTAGACAGACTTCATTGAAAAGGTAAAGTTTCCTTCTTCTGTAAATTACTTAATTTGTCTATTACTAATTTAATTGTTTGTAATTTTATGTGTGTCTGTAAAATTAATTTAATTTTTCCTTCCATTATTAAATTATTATTTTTCATTATTTTTCGATGATGGCTGCAATTGCCCAATTTTGCACCGTCAGTGAACCTTAAACATGTGAAACGGGATACCATTATCTCATAAACCATGTCATCTCAAGACAACATACAATATTACATACATATATGTATATATTAGCTAGAGTCCTGCCTTGTTCCACTCATTGAGATACACCCAATGACTCAAGATTTTGTTAACAATAAAACAGAGTTGGCATAATTTCTTCGTAGTAATAATAATCAATATTTTTTTCATATACACAAGTTAAATTAGTCAATTATATTGGTACTTACTCCACTTTCAAAGTGTAAAAAGTCGAGGGTTCTAGTCCTCGTAAAAAAATGCAAAAAATTATACAGTACATGATATCACATATTATTCTATTTCATATTTCACTATTTGCTTACTAAAATAAATAATTAAGTATAAAGAATATTCATCTAACTCAAATTTATTTATTTTTTTACTATTTATAATTATAAGGGTATTTTTGGTAAGTAAAATCATTTTCTTTTCTTTTTCATGCTATCCAAACTAACAATAATATTTTCTCACAACTTTCTTCAAAAAAATTCTTGCTAACCAAATGCACGATGGAAACTTGATTTTCCTTTCTTTCACTTCACTTTCTTTCACTTTCACTTTCCATTAAATTTCCCGTCTAACCAAATGAACCCTTAAGATCATTTTGATGGATGCACTATTATAATTAGGTTTCATAATCTTGCCTTTGTTGCATTCATCTTCATTTTAGTTGTGTCCCTGAAAGCGTTTTTGATGGCATTGAGCTCAGCTAAATCTCCCATGCGCGTGGATGCTGTGTGAGCATTCACGTAATTCACCTGCAATTCATCAATATAAGCTTTTACACTAGAGCTGAAAATGTTTGTAATGTTAATCAAAGAAGGATGCATTTATTTGGGGCCCGTTTACTAACGCTTTTACTTTCTTATTTTTACTTTCTTCAAAAGTAAAATTATAATTTTCATTTCTGAATCTAAAATATAAAGTAGAATTATGTTTACTAATTTGTCATCCTTTCAATATTTTCAAAGCAAGAAATTAAAAAGTAAGTTCATAATTATAATTTTGATTTTGTTTTCTAAATTGACAATCAATGTTATATACTATCTATATGTATATATTTATATATATATAGCTCTGTGGGAAGCTCCTGAAATCAAAGGGCATCGCAAGACCCAGATCATTTCTTCTGTGAAATCAAAGGGCATCACCACCAACATCGCCAATTGTATTTAATACACACCACCAATTGTTTCACAAACCCAAAACCAAACACCAAACAATGAAGAACCCTTCCCTCTCTTCATTTCTTCTTCTCTTTTCTCTCCAATTCTTTTCTTGTGCTTTATCAGATTCAATCTACGACAGTTTCCGTCAATGCCTCTCCAAGAACTCACCATCAGACCCAATTTCCGCCAGCACTCTCTACAGCCCATCAATCTTACATAAACCCTCACTCATCATCACCCCTCTCCGCGAATCCCATGTCAGCCCCGTCCTGCTTTGCGCCAAAATTCTGGGGAGCTTGCAACTTCAAGATTCTGGTCATTTGTGACTTACTCTCTCTTAATCAATTCCTTTAACTTATTTCTTTTTATCGGGAGTGTTTGTAGAGAGACAGAGGAGAGAGAAGCGATGATGGTGGTGGTTGTCGGCAATGGTGATGGTGGCGGTGGTTGTCGACGGCGAGGAGGTGGCAGTGGCAATGACCGTGGTGGGGAGGAGATGGGCGATGGTGCTACAGTAGAGAAAGTGATTTCTACAAACAGTGTAGAAAATGTAGAAAGTGAGGATTTCTCACTTTCTCCTCTCTTCACAAAATTAGAAAGTACTTTCTTAAAACAAAAAAGTGAAAGTATTTTATTAAACACGATTTTTACTTTTGATTCTCAATTTTAGGAATTGACAGTAGAAATCAGGAATCATTCCTGTTAGTAAATAGGCCCTTGGTAATGTGATGTCACTTTACTCATTGTGTCTTCATATTCAGGTAGCATAGAAACCAGTGTTGTCAAAGGCATGCTTAGGCTCCTGCCTAGGCTCAAGGCTCATACAAGCGCAACACTTGCGCCTGTTGTGTGCTCAGGTGCGCCTTTGACAATACTTGCGCCTTTGATATGGAATTTGAATGCTTTAATACGAATGTTATTTTTCAATTGTGCGCCTCGTTTCACTCAGGTCTGCTCCTAGGCTCCAAAGGACCACTAGCGCCGTGGGCTTTTGATAACACTGATAGAAACAGAACTGGACATAACGAGATGAACACAGGTATGAGACAGCTTATTTTATGCAAATCAACTTCCTAAAAAATAAGAAATATACTTTCTGATCAATCTACCAAGAAACTAATTGAAGAAGAATATGTTTCCAGCAATTTTTTGATTTGCTTGCATTCTGGGGTGATTTCTCTACAATTTTGTGGCACCGTAGCTGGCCATCTTTGATCAAAACTTGGGGAAATCTTTGTATTGTCAATTTTGGTGAACAATCAATTATCAGTCTGAATATGCATATCAAAGGGTGAAAAGGAGCTTTCAAACCTCTCCTGGGGAGACTCCAGCATTTTCCAAGCTCTTGGTTATACAACCTATAACTCCAAGTCCGTCAGAACATGGCTCAGTCAGGTGCTGAGCATCACATGTTATGGCTCCTCCTAGGTACTCTGCTATTATTTTTGCTCCTCGTTTTGTTGCATGCTCCAAGCTCTCCATAACCTTCTCTCAGTGCACAAACTTTAGTATACCATGTATTGAATTCCAAATAGGAAGTAAAAGCAACATATATGTATGTTAAATATGCATATATGTTTGTATGTTTATAGATATATATATATATATATTTAAGAAGAGTGTACATTCCTCTCTGCTATTCGACATTTATGTATACTCTGAATCGTGAGCATGCTAAAGAATAAATTCACTGCTGCATTGGGCACTGTATGGCTACTAACGTTGGTAGATATACATGTGTTTATAAGCAAGTATCGATGAGTTTGGGAGGACAGTAAACAATTTTAGGAACTAGAAGGCGTCAAATGTATGATTCATTACCAGCACACTGGCGCCTTCACTCAAGACAAAACCATCACGATCTTTATCCCATGGCCTCGAAGCTTTCTCTGGTTCATCGTTTCTCTTTGACAAAGCCCTACAAGCCGAAAATCCACAGATACTAGTAGGAATAACTCCTGCTTCACTTCCACCAGGGATCATAATTTCTGCTTCACCCCTTCTAATGTGATTTGCCTTGGCATAGAAACAATAATTTGCAGTTGCACAAGCTGCTGAAATGGAAGTATGGTGCTAAAATTTTACTGTATTCTTCCTGGAGAAAGGCATTTACTGATTTGCATAACGATGTACACCTCCTGAGCCTGAACCCGTCACTACTCCAATGGTTGCCTCGTGCATTGTTGAATGAAGTTGATTTTTTCGTTGCAAAAGATTTGATGAGCTGATATATTATTGATGGACATCCAAGTTACGTATGTTTTTGAGGACTGCAGGGCCGAGGTTGGCATCTACGATAGCTTTCTTTGCAGCCACAATGCTATATCTCCAGTAGTCATCGAAAGATTGATCAGACGCGCTCTTTAAGTAGCACTCTGAAGAGAAGTGCCGAATCTGACCTGCAATTCTAACAGGGAAGTCTAGAGTATCGAACTTGTTGATTAAACTGATGCCGCTTTCTCCCTTGAGGAGCACGTTGTAAACGACATTGCCAAATACTGAAATGAGAACCATTCCTGTTATGACAATCCGTTTCTTTGGATCTTTCTGTCGTATTGGAGCTGAGGAGGTAGGAGAAGCCATAGCCCTGATTCGTCCTCATCTTCTATCTGAGGATGAGAAACCACCCATTGTAGGTTAGTAAATATTTGAAGATGGTGACATCCACTGCCGTGACAACTTAACTGGCAGAATATATATATATATATATATATATTTATTTATAAGTAACATTAACGGGCAGAATAAAGTCCTATCACACACAATACTAGGTTTATATTATAACCTACTAACAGCTTATATCACAAGCACAGCGAAACAGTGAGAAGGGCTAACTGCATTGATGTTGAAGTCAGGAATGCAGAAGGTGAGTGAGATTACTCATTTGAAAGGCAAGCCAACTAGATATTCTTGGATGAAGCCATTGGGTTGTTTTCCACTGATCTGAGGCCATCGTAGTGAAGCAGTGTAGTATCTTCATTCTCAACGCCAAATATGAAGAAAAGGTATTAGCAATGCCTGCCATGTCCTTTGTAGAGGCTTCTTTCCTTTTAGAGCTCTTTCAAAGTTGATCTCTATATAAATAAGGAAGTGTAATAAAATCCTTAGGTGGGGTAGGAGATTGCTTTTAATATACTATTTTTGTTGGCTACTGGAATTTTATTAACAGTGCAATATTCAATATTAATTCTATCATTTTGATTGCTCATGTGAGTGAGGATTTTTAGTATTAACTTGTACTTCAACTAGATGTTGATTTAGTTATTTCTTCTTCTTTTTTCCCGGGAACTTATTGGTTTTTGTAGGTGGGTTGTCTTTCTCTCTCTCTCTTGAGAGCTTCTTTTTATTAGAGCTTTAGTATGATTTTCCTATATTAATTCATTGTCTTTCATCTGCATACCAGGAAGAGTTGAGGCCAGTTATGGGTCACATTTAGTTTTTTAATCAGAAGTTCAGTTTTAACAAGAAATAAGCTTCAACTCTTTTCCCCCAATTTGGAGGATGCAAATTTCCCCCAGTTTGGAGGATGCAACAGAGGGTGTTGTTGGGATCATGTGATGGGGCCCACAAATGGGAATAAGGCAGTTTACATGCCATATTTTCACTGCTTTTGAACAACAAATAGGAAGCAATGCCTGCGTTATTTCTTAAATTTGGTTTCTCTCATTTGTAACTGTTTCCAGGTCAATGTAGTTATATTTATACAGTAGGGTTTGCAGTGATATACTTTAAGACCAATTTCTGTTTTGGAGAGTCTACATATTAAGTAGACTCTTGCTCTTCTACATGTTAAGATGTTGTCTTGATAGGGTCGCAAATGAACAAAAATTGGATTGGTATTGGTTTTCGGGGACGACCATAGATGTTCTATGATCGTTGACAATTTAGTTCAGACTTTACTATTAAAAAAAGTGACCTCACCGAATTCAATTTCGTGATAAACATAGTAACAGCTTATTTCTTAGCCAGCCTCTATTTTTATTTTTATTATTATTTTTTTTTTTTTGCTGATACAGAAATTAAAAATTTTCTCTTTTTTTTTATTATTTTTTGGTTGATACAGAAATTCAGAAAGTCTCCACTCCTTTCAGTCAACAATCGCCCAATTTTTTCTTGCATTTCCGTGTTCATCTTCTTTTCCTCTCTCACCGCCACCTCTCTCAATTTCAGACTACCCACCCAATTGTTTGAAGATGAATATTACAAAGTGACAACAACTGAAATAGATATATTCTCTGAAGTAGGAAAAAAAAAAAAAAAACCTAAATTAAAGTTATTTGATTTGATAAAATATGTAGTGCCCTTTGTGTTCTGGACATGATCTTCATGGATCAACGACTTTGAATGTCTATGTTATAGTATGTACATCTGTATTACTGTACAATTACTCTCTCTCTCTCTCTATATATTGAGCCGTGTCATCATTTGTGATACTCGTCTGAAATTTCTCATGCTTGTCAGTGCAAGCTTTTACCATTGCATGAAACCGTGACCATGAAACAAACTTAATTGTATTATTATTTTGGTATATGAATTAAGCGTAGACTTAGCTAAAAAAAAAAAAAAATTTAAAAAAAATAAATTAATTAAGCGTAGACTGTGTTTCTAGAAGTAATCTGCCAGCCACACACCATAAAGAGATTAATATAGCCGCTACGCCTTTATTAATCAAGTGATGTTATCATGAGAAGTGAGAATCATTTTATAAGATATATGAGTTTTTTTTATTTAGTCATTGAATTAAGATATTTTATTAAAATTTATAAAAAAATCAAATAAGTTTTTTAATGAATTAAAATGATTATGCAAAGAGAACTCATCATGAGAGGGTTCTCACAATAGTATTATTCTTATTAGGTTAGGTAGGTGAAATTCGAAATAATTCCTAGAAAGTCGATGACAATCATAAAAACCATGCTAATACAGTAGGAAAAAAAAAAAAAAAAAAAGAAGAAGTTGATAGTATGCTCCATTTTAATGGATCTAACACCATACCCTTTTAGAAAACTAAGGACAAATTTGATGTTAGAAATTTTTTTTCTTTCTATTTTTTTTTTGGAAGTATAATAAAATAAACTCGTTTTATTGTATTCCTCCAAATTATTTTATTTTATTTTATTTTTCCTTCCAAAATTTAAAATCAAACACAAAAAAAAAACCATGATCCACGTATTCCATCCTAAGTTCATTATTGGTATTAAAAAAAAGTAAATAAAATGTTAAGCAATCAAAATGCACATGGCAGAGATGACCCAGTTCCTCGCTTGCTTCAAGTGAGCATCGGCAATAAAGGGGATTTAATTCTGTGATTTATAAAAATTAGAGTGAATCAAAATCAAGAGATATAAATTATTTTATAACAGCCCATTGCAGAAATAAATAAGTTCATATCTAATAGATATGAGAGTTGAATTTGGATGGACATCACACCCAATATTCAATAACCACCTTTATAGGTGAAGGTGGTGATTGATGAAGACAGCTTCCCAATGTCTGAACAATAAAACAGAAATGTGTCACCATAACCAAACGACAAATCCATTAAGTTCTGAATTGGTTGATTGGTGTTAAGATATGGTTTTCATTGACAACTCATTGCTTTGGTAATTCTCAAAACATAATTTTTTTTCTTTTTCTTACAGCAAACACCTCCTTCTGATAAGTAACAACCACAAAACCAAAATTACATAAACATTTTAATATAAGTTTACTTTTCTATTAACGCCCTTCAGTTGAGTTGCTCTTTGGAGTCGGGTTTGAACCTTCACACTTCTAACTTTACATCCTTACCTGAAAAAAAAAAAAAAACAAAAAAACAAAAAAAAACATTCAATTTTCTTAATCAGAAACGATTATTAGTTTAAACAAAAAAACACAATCCATTTATAGCACGTAATATCATAACCCAAAGCCTTTCTTCTGTGCGCACTGCGCGCACTTCGTAATCAACATGGACTAACACTAATGTATGGTTGGACCCAATGCCTGCAATCAATCCATCTCTCACCTCTTCTTCGAAATATCCCCCAAGTCCAGCACATCAGAAAGCCCTAATTCACTATATCCATGTAGGGGAGTGTTCGATTTCTCTTCACTTTTCCAAATAAAATTCATTTCCTTTCTAGGGTTTTCATTCCGCCGGGAACATTTCAATGGGTGAAGGGAGGATGAAAAAGATGTCTCTGCCAGCTCTGTTTGAACAGGCTCGAGAGGTTCATGGATTGGCGTCCCAGTCTGGCATTGATCAGGTAATATCATCCTGTACTTACACATACCATGTATCTATCTATGTCGATGAATTTTGCAGCATTAATTTAGTCCTCATTTAGGCATAATACTGTATGTCGCACTTGAATGAGAAATATATTAGGCTATATTTTTTCAAATAATCCCCAATTATGAAATATATATATGATCAAAATGAATGATTTTCTTAGATACACGGTGATGGATGAATGAGCAGAGCATATACAATTTATTTTCTGGACTACTGTTTCTTACAATAACGTAAATCTTTGATTGTGGGGAGAATTTCAATAGAGTATATAATAACCCATGAGCGCCTCGAATTACTCGAAGTTTCTCGTATGCAACCAACCAAAAAGAGTAACTTTGCCTTGTAGCCAAGTCCTTGTTAAGAAATCTAACTTATTAGAGTAGTAAAACTAGCATTGTTCACATAAGACACAAAGAAAAATCCATAAAAGACCAACAAGCCGGTGGCCTAGTGGTACAAGGCTCCTATTTCCCAAAGGGAGGTCAGGCGTTCAAGCTCCAGTGGAGTCATGTGTGTGAGTACCTTCGAAGAAAAAAAAAAAAAAAAAAAAAAAAAAAATGCATAGAAGCATTTTTTGAGTTATCCAATTTTTTGAATAAATGATATTCTTGAGGCCAATAGAATTCTAGGAATAATTATGGATGAAAAATCTCTGGGACATTGTGGGATGCACATTAGTGATAAGTTTATATGGTGCCTCTTTTGCTTTGTCCCGAATTTCACAGATTGATTGTCAAAGGTGCGCCGTGGCTCAAGGCTCAGACACCCACAACGCTTGAGCCTGTTGTATGCCCAGGCGCACCTTTGACAACACTTGGCACCTTTAATATGGAATATGAATGCTTTAATAGTAATTTAATTTTTCAATTATGCGACTAGCTTCACTTAGGCGTGTGCCTCACCTTGCGCATTGCGCTTAGACTCCGTAGGGCCTCTAGTGCCTTGGGCCTTTGATAACACTGGTTTTAGCAATACAACCAGAAGATTCTGAGGCGTATGAGGCCATTTCTTTTGCACTTTTAGTTTAAAGAGCTGAAGTGGCAGCTATTCTGTGTATTGAGTCATTAAGGTTTATTTCAGGTGTAGAAGTATGAAATGCCACCTAACAACACTAGTGTTACAGAAGAAAACCATGATGGAATTATGGAAAACCCTGCTTTTGGAAAAATGATTCTTATGCCCATGTGTTGTATTCTGGCACACTGATCCTACACCAGACACAGCTATGAATTCATTTACAAAAGTTAACATGAACTGCATGACAGAACTCTGGTAAGTATTTTTTCTTAAAAGAACCATACTAAACCCAGGTTAATACTTAGCCAGTATTTGCTGAGGTATGTTCAGTGCAAAAGTAAATCCCACTCAAACAAAACCATAATGATACCCATGCATTGAAGAATAGAAGAGGTCTGGAAGCCTTCCAAAGTGTACAACTGATACGATATAACTACTACTTTCTTAAAATGACATAATTTTCTCAATAGTTGATGGAGATTGAGCTCTGTTTTATTCCTTGAATTGGTATAATAGTTTTTGGGGACGTTCGAAGCTGATCAGCTACAACAACTTTTATTACTTAGCAGTAAGTATCGAATTACATATTTTATAGAAAAAGTTTGGCTGGATTTAATATATAAATCTTAACAAGGATTTATGTTTATAGTTTTGAACTTGAGTTCTTGTTCTTAAAATAGATCCTTTTTTTATTTTTTTGGATGTGTAAAATAGTTCTTTTCTACCCATCCTAAATGCAGCTTTGGAAAGTATCTCTATCATACATGTTCAATTGTTTATTTGTTTACAATCTATTTTTTCTGCATTATTTTGTGCTTTTAACTTTATGTGAGGTTTTTGTTGTAGATGAGCAATAATAGTATGGTGTCGAATCCTGAAAATATGAATCCAATAACAATTAATAATTGAATAGAATATAAAGGCTGATTTACACAGTATTGTTGGTAGACTTAAATGGCTAAGATGTAGGCTCTGTCAACTGTAGCTCAGGGCCATTGTGTCTAAATGATACTCCTAATACATCAAAGCTTACAGAACCAACAGATCATCCATTTAACAATTCATCTATTCTTTGTGCAACAAAAAAGAAAATTATCTTGCCTTGGCCTTTTTAAGGTGTGAAGGGAGCAAAAACGACCACCGCATTGTGTCCACCAAAGCCGAATGAGTTGGAGATAGCTGTTATGAATATAGGAATTAGATTAGTTGAAAGAATGTTTCTCATGTAGGATAGAATAAGATATAGTTCATCTTGTACAGAGCAAATCCTCATTTAAAACCCAATTGATTGTTGCTTCTGAGGTTTATGGTAAAGGAATTACATGTTTTAGCTTTTTGTGGTTGATGTGAGTCTGTTAAGTGTGTGGTAAATCTCTTTCTCTCCCCCCTCCCCTCCTCCCCACTCCCTCTTTCTTCTCATTCCTTGCCTAAGCAACAACAAGAATGTGCTTTGCAGCTTCTGGATCCTATTTATCAAAAAATATATTTATATGTCCACATTCTCATGAAACTTAACTTGCAAAACTACTGAAAATACATCTTTTTTTTTTTTTTTTAATGTGTCCAGGAAATTTTTCATAAATTTTTCCTCCATCCTATTTACCTTTTCTGGTGTATGATCATTTCAGTAGGTTTTCAAAATTCACTTAAACAAAAGTTAGAATTAGTTCTTCTTTGAATTTTTCTTTTTTGCAGTCTCTGATGGTGTCTGCACCATTGTTAGTGTTTGTTCAGTAGTAATTAAGACTTACCAACGTTGACATCATGCTGTTTCTTCTGATTTGGGACAGTGTCGATCGTAACCTCAGGTTCAATATTCTGCAATAAAATACATTAAATTAATTAATATATTGCAAGACCATCACGACAATATAAAAGGAGATTGGGAACTTAAAGAGTCATTTTGGCATACATATTGGTTTATGGTTGGATGCAGCCAACCAGTAGTGATTGCTTTTATGGTTGCTATGGCTTCCAATCCTCCCGCAGCTCCTAGAGCATGTCCAATCATTGACTGTAAATTTTAACCATGTACTGATGTTGGTATACAAAATGAAGATTTAACTCTTGTTTCAGTAGTTTAAATAAGCATTCAGGATTATGCATCTATCAGTTCTTGGTGATCTTGTTAAATCACTTGCATTCAGGATTAGGCATTGATTTGCTCATCCGATTATCCTGTTCATGACTGGAATCCTAAGATCATTACGATGGATGTGCTGTTATAACTAGGTTTCATAATCTTGCCTTTGTGGCGTTCATCTTCATTTTAGTTGTGTCCTTGAAAACCTTTTTGATGGCATTGACCTCAGCTAAATCTCCCATGCGTGTAGATGTTGCGTGAGCATTCACGTAATTCACCTGCAATTCATCAACATAAGTCTTTACACTAGAGCTGAAAAGCTTCCTAATGTTAATCAAATAAGGATGCATTTATTTGGTGTTGTGATGACCCTTTACTCATTGCGTCTTCATAGTCGGGTAGTATAGAAACCGGTGTTGTCAAAGGCACGTCTGGGCACCTGCCTAGGTTCCAGGCTCATACAGGTGCAACACTTGCGCCTATTGTGTGCCCAGGTGCCTTTGACAACACTTGCGCTTTTAATATGAATATGAGTGCTTTAGTAGTAAATTAGTTTTTCAATTGTGCGCCTAGGCTCCAAAGGACCTCTAGCGCCTTGGGCCTTTGATGTAGCGAGCTTATTTTATGCATATCAACTTCCCAAAAAAATAACAAGAAATATACTTTCTGATCAATTTACCATACAACTAATTGAAGAAGAATATGTTTCTAGCAAATAGATTTGTTTGCATTCTGGGATGATTTCTCTATAATTTTGTGGCACCGGAACTGGCCATCTTGGATCAAAACTTGGGGAATTATATGTATTGTCAATTTTGGTGAACAATCAATTATCAATCTAAAAATATATATCGAATGGTGGAAAAGTGTTTTCAAACCTCTTCTGGGGAGACTCCAGCATTTTCCAAGCTCTTGGTTATGCAACCTATAACTCCAAGTCCGTCAGAACGCGGCTCAGTAAGGTGATGAGCATCACATGTTATGGCTCCTCCTAGGTACTCTGCTATTATATTTGCTCCTCGTTTTGTTGCATGCTCCAAGCTCTCCATAACCTTATCTCGGAGCACAAACTTTAGTATACAAGGTATTGAATTCCAAATAGGAAGTAAAAGCAACATATATGTATGTTTATAGATGTATATATGTTTGTATGTTTATAGATGTATATATTTTTAAGAAGAGTGTACATTCATGTAGTGGGGCCGTGCATTTATTCATGCATGTCTACTCTGCTATTTGACATTTTGTACTCCTTGAATCATGAGTATGCTAAAGAAGAAAATGACAACTGCTTTGGGCACTATATGGCTATTAGCGTTGGTAGATATACGTATGTTTATAATCAAGTATCATTCTTGGTTGACAAGTTCTCTATCTGTGTGCATTTATGTTAGTGCATATCTGTGTATCTATTACCTGAATATGTTTGTAATATATCTAGTTGAAGCTTGAAACAGTAGACATCATTTCCGTATTAACACAAAAATATATTTATAGACGTCTAAACGATCATCACGATGAGTTTTGGAGGACAGTAAACAATGTTAGACACTAGAAGTTGTCAAATGTATGATTCATTACCAGCACACCAGAGCCTTCACTCAAGACAAAACCATCACGATCCATATCCCATGGCCTCGAAGCTTTCTCTGGGTCATCGTTTCTGTTTGACAAAGCTCTACAAGCCGAAAATCCACAGATACCGGTAGGAATAACTCCTGCTTCACTTCCACCAGCGATCATGATTTCCGCTTCACCCTTTCTTATGTGATTTGCTGCGGCATAGAAACAATAATTTGCGGTTGCACAAGCTGTCGAAATGGAGTAATTTGGTCCCATCAAGCCAGTTTCTATAGCTAATAGTGCTGGACCAAAATTTGATTGGTAGTATGGACTTAAAATTTTGCTGTATTCTTCTCGGAGAAGGGCATTTACTGAATCGCATAACGATGCAACACCTCCGGAGCCTGAACCTATCACTACTCCAATATTTGATCTATTCATCTGTGATGAAAAATGTTCAAAGGTTGGTGTTAGATCAGTCGAAGAAGTATTGGTCAAGCCATGTCAATCAAGAGATTCTATAGTAAACTAGAGCGAAATAATGAAAAGATGAGATGGGCAGATAGTCCTATGTAGTTGCCTCTTGCATTGCTGAATGAAGTTGGTTTTTTCATTGTAAAAATTGTGATGAACAGAAATATTGTTGGACATCCAAGTTACGTACATTTTTGAGGACTTCAGGGCCGAGGTTGGCATCTCCGAGTGCTTTCTTTGCAGCCACAATGCTATATCTCCAGCAGTCATCGAAACATAGATCGGTCGGGCTTTTTACGTAGCCCTCTGAACAGAAGTGGCGAATCTGACCGGCAATTCTGACAGGGAAGTCTAGAGCATCAAACTTGTCGATTAGACTGATGCCGCTTTCTCCCTTGAGGAGTTTGTGGTAGAATGTATCAACATCATTGCCAAATACAGAAACGAGACCCATTCCTGTAATGACAATCCGTTTCTTTGGATCTTTCTGTCGTTTTGGAACTGAGTTGGTAGAAGAAGCCATGGCCCTGATCCGTCCTTGACTTTTATCTGAGGATGAGAAACCACCACCCACTGGAGGTTAGTAAATATTTGAAGACGGTGACATCCTTGGCCATGGAAACTTAGGTGGCTGAATAAAAAAAGTCTTACGGCACACAATACTAGGTTTATATTTTAACCTACTAACAACAGTTCATATTACAAGCACAGCGAGAGAGTAGGAGAGTTAGATAACTCACTTGAAAAGCAGATGGTGGCCGTGTTCTTGGATGAAGCCGTTGGGTTGTTTTCCAGTGATCTGAGGCCATCGTAGTGAAGCCTGCCATGACCTCGGTAGAGGTTTCTGTTCGCCAAATCTGAAGAAAAAGTATTAGAAATGCCTGCCATGTCCTTGCTAGAGAGTTGTTTCCTTTTACAACCCTTTACGAGTCGATCTCTTATGTCTATAAATACGGAAGTGAAATAATATCCCGAGGTGGGGTAGGAGATTGCCTTTTAATTACACTATTTTTTGTTGGCTACTGTAATTATCTTAACATTGCAATATTTAATATTTATTCTATAAGCTCGCTTGTGTGTGTGTGGATTTTTAGTATTCACTTGTACTTCAACTCGATGTCGACAGGTTTCTTTTTTCCCCAATTTGAGTTTTTTTTTTTTTTTTTTTTTCTCTGCACCAATTTATTAGTTTGAGATTTTGTTTTTCCCATATTAATTGTCTTTAATATCTATCAATTTGCTTGTGTGAGTGAGGATTTTTATTATTTCTTCTTCTTCTTTCCGGGAACTTACTTTTTCTTTTTTCTTTTTTTTCCTTTTTTTTTTTTTGAGGGTTGAGGTGGATGTCTTTGACTCTCTCTCTCTCTCTATCTTTTGAGGGCTCTCTTTTTTATTAATTGTCAGACTGGAAAAGAGCTGAGGCTAGTTATGGGTCGCATTTAGTTTTTAATCAGAAGCTCACTTTACCTGACCAGAAATAAGAATTCTTGCACTTAACCCTAAAAAAAAAGGTTGATGATGAGAATATAAAAAGAACAGGTTGTCGATCTTGTGAACATGGTGGGGGGCAAAGCACATTTGCAAGTGGTACTATTAAAGAATAATTATTTCTAGAGGCTAAGTCTTCAACGAATACTTCGCTGTTACAACTTAGACGTTTAGATATACCAAGATTAACTCTAACTAACGCCTTTAATCTAGAACCTTTAACATGATGCCCTTTCTTGTTGAGAATGGAATATTCCACTCGCATTCAGTAGAAGAGGACTTTGTTATTTTAGTTTTTTTGGAAGTCAGGACTTTGGGGTTTTTTTTGTATTTGTTTTGGCATTAAGGACTTTTGTGTTTTTCTTGCTTTTCAATAATTTTAAATTTCAAGAAAAGTATATGTACCAAGTTTGACTTTCTCAGCACAGTATATTTTCTAATTTTTTTAGTTAATGCTGACGTGGGCGAATTACAAATACACACAATTAAAAAATTAATAAATAAAAAAATAGTTTATTTTCGGTAAATCACATTCTATTTTCATTTATTCTTTCTATTTTCTTTAATTTTTATTTTTTATTTTATAATTAAAAACAATATGTACATTTGTGGTTACACGCATAAGTCGTGAAATAAGTATGTTCCATTGAGTAATGAAGATAACATGCAATGGATGGGATAGGAAAACGGCATACATGTTGGATAACAGGGGTTGAATGTTTCCACTGTTTTTGAACAACAACAAATGGGTAAGAGGAGTTGAATGTTTCCACTGTTTTTGAACAACAAATGGGTAGAGAGAATTTACTAGCAATGTCTGCCATATTTCTTACTTACTTTGGGTTTCTTTAATTCTTTTAGCCGTTAGCTGGTCAAACAAATTTATATCTGTACAGTAGGGGTGGCAGGGACAGTAGCAGTCGAATCTCTGTTTTGGAGTGCGTCTCCATTGTTAAGATGCTGTGTTGATAGGGTTTGTAAACAGAACAAGAATTGGATTGGTACCGGTTCTCGTGGCCGTCGATAGACGGTCCTGTACCTCGTTAGACTCAAAATTTCTGGTGCTCGCGAAACAGCTATCGTCCAACAAACTTAATTGTATTTTAGTATTTCTGGGTAAGATTTGTCACTATGTTCAACCGACAATGCATGCATTGTTAATATATTTAAAGGATTGACAACATAATGAAGCAAAGAAAACAGGGAAGTAGTTGGTGCAGGGTCGGGGCCAGCATTGATGAAATCTGTAGCAACCTAGAATGTCATGTAACGGAGTATTGTGGGTGGTGGTCCAACCTTGTTATTAGGCAAAAATTAAATGAGAGCGTGCATGGTGTGCTTTCCTGTATAACGTGTCGTGTTTGGGGGTGTGGGTGTGGGTGTGTCTTGTGTCATTGATGGAAGAAGAAACCAGTGGCGTGTGCAGTTTTATGTGAAGTTGAAATGTGGATCAGGTGATTGATGAATACATGTCAGTGCGATTGATTATCAGTCAAATATTTGCAAAGACTGCATGATTCATCTGTATATTTTTGTATCAGAAAATACAGAAGAGGTGACAAATCCATACAACTGTCAGAGTTTGGAGTTTGGTTTGTAATTTGAATTACTCAAGTTTTGGATATATAAATTCTGTGTAAATTATCTGTCATATATTTTTATTCTGATATTTTTGTTCGGCTGTTTCATAAATATATATATTTTTTTTTCAAGTTAAATTTTAGTGTTTTAATCTCTCAATTTTTTTTCACTTATTTTATTTTTGTTTCTGTTTGTAAAAGTAAATCTGTCTGACAGACCATAAATAGATTAGGTCTTGGCCGTTCCTATGAAAGTAGTTGATATCAGTTAAGGCAATAATAAAACCCATGTTCTCCCAACTTTTATTTCTTACAACCAGAGAGAGAGAGCTCACCAACTTTTATTTCTTGCCAGAGAGAGAGAGTGGAAAACTGCTCATTTTTATGTCAAGAAAGTGAGAGAGAGAGAGAGTCTGTTTTATCAATATTAAAATAAAATTTTATTTTATTAATCATTTTTTTAAAATATTTTCTAAATATTCTGTTAAAAAAATATTGATGCGAGATGGATTGAAGTTCATCATCGGAAGCCTTTGAAAGCAATGTCACCACAATGGTGCCTTTTTCTTTTTGGCTGGTTTGGAGGGTCAAATTAGTTCATTACGTTGACGTCACTCTACAAATATAGCTATTGCATTTGAACGACGTGGTTATAGAAGATTTGGCTATCAAGATAGAGAAGAGAAAAAGGAAATGGCAATTACTCCATTTGATGTTGTGAGGCTAGCCTTTTGACCAACTCCACGCCATACTGTTTGGCTTACCACATTACAATCTCTATTCATGTTTGAATATATACTAGAGAAAAGAAAATAAATAACAATATTTTTGTCTATATATAATAAATATATATATATAATAATTAAATTATTATCATATCCTTTTAAATGAAATAATAATTTATTCTTTTTAATTATTGAAGGTCGTTTTAGAATTATAAAATTATCATTTAAACACTATTATTTTTTTCCTTATCTTCTTATTTTTTAAAAGATAAGACGAAAGAGATAGCGTTATCTCTCCTTATCTTTTCTTTTCTTTTATTTAAATAATTTTAAAACAATCTACATTATCACCTCTTTTCTTTACTCTCGGTATTCTTTCAAATCTATAAATCCAAACGCACGCTTAGGGAAAGGGGTATGGTGTATTGGTGCCTCTCTTTTTGGCTGTTTTGGAGAGTCACATCATTCTAATATTTAATAAATGAAGCCGTTCCATCATGTTAGATAAGAGACACAGAAACTCGCAACCGCTTCATTTGATGTAAGGGGGTTGGTGTTTTGGCCGGTGATCTTGTGGTGGCAGGGGCCAAAATTATAAATAATATTACTTAATTAAATTTTTTTTAAAAAAAATATTTTACTATTTATTATATTCATACAAAAATATATCTATCAAAACTTTTCTCAATTTATTTATTAAAAAAAAAAAAACTAATTATTTAAAGAAATTTTTTTATCAAACTTTCTAAATAAACACAAATAAGATTTATGCCAAAATTATTAAAAAAAATTCAATTAAATAACTCTCTTTATTTACTAAAAAGAAAAATAACAAAAATAATTTTAAAAAAAAATAAAGTAATAATTGAAAATTTAACAAAACAATAACAATGATAAAAAATAAAAATAATAAATAAATAAATAATCACAAACAAATTAATAAAATAAGAATTTAAATTCTTAAATCATCGATTTTTATTGATATTCAAAATTTCAAATGAAATTTTTGTTCTAAATTTTTTAAAAATTAATATATTGTAGAATTCTTATAAAAGCATTCTAATAAAAATAAATAAATAAATTAGTGATGGAAAGAATCATATTTGGGATGGAATTTTAGAATAATAAGATTACGGAGAGAATCGTGCTTGAATTGGAAGAATTTTAAGATAGTCACATTATGAAAAAAAACAATATTTGAGTTGAAATTTTAAGATAGTCACATTAATTTTTTATAAAAGCATTCCAATAAAAATAAAAATAAAAGTGATAGAAAGAATCATGTATGAGATGGAATTTTAAGATAATAAGATTATGAAAAGAATCGTGCTTGAGTTGAAAGAATTTTAAGATAATCACATTATGGAAAGAACGATATTTGAGTTGAAATTTTAAGGTAATCACATTAAATTTTTATCAGGATTCTATAATCGTCAATTAAATCACTTTCTTTTAGATTATATATAAACTATCTTTTGTTAAATGCTTATTAAAGAAAGGAAAAAAAAAATTTCTTAAGAAGGCTAAGTATAAATTTTATACCATATATGCTATATTATTTTATTTTAACCTATACTTGAAAAAAAAAAAAAAATTCCCAAAAAATTAAGGGGGCTCGCGGGCCGCCCCTGCACACCAGACTGCTTGGCTTGGCTTGGCTTGGCTGGCCACATTCCAACCACACAAGTTGCTCTCAGCTTGCTTTTCTGCTGGTCAATTTGATTACTTATTTAAAAACTATTTCAACATATCCATTAATACTCCTCTCAATCAAACTCATGTCTCAATAGGTACTTTTCTCGTACCAACCCAGAAAATGTAAAAAAAAAATTTGTTCGCGAGAACTCAACTATAAAAATTATTGAATATTACAGTATTTCATTTTTCACAAATTTAGATTAGTATTCAAAAGAAAATAATAAATTTTTGATAAACTGTGTTTTATTTTTATTTTTTTTTTGGTTCATTAAGAATCGATTAGAATATTTTTTTCACTGTAAAATTTTTCGAATATCAATGAAAAAGAAGAAGAAGAAGGCTTTAAATTTCTTTAATTATTGCCTAATATTTTGAAGATTCAAATTGAAATACAAGCCCGTCCGTAAGGAATACCTAATATAAAAACTTAAATGAACCATGATCACTTTAATTCTCTCCATCTTCTGTTATACAAAATTGGTACTCTGAAACAGAAGACTAGATCATTAATGAAGCATCTATATTGCTAAGCTTTTTGAAGTTTTGATGATGAAGTAAATGTGGTTGATGG